GTCCCGGGGTGGCCCCTTGCTGGGTGAGGAGGGGAGAAAGCATGACTCGCCGTTATCAGGAGCGTGTTAACCCCACAGCAAACATGATTTCACTGGTGCAAGGGTGATGGTGGTGACGTGTGAGCGGGGAACGCGGTCCCCTCCTCTCCGGGACCTAATCTAAATTGCTTTATGAGGGGCCAGCAGGTAGACCAAAGCCTCCTGCTCCCTGGGGGACACGGGGACAGGTCAAGGGGGCCCCAGGCGGCCCTGAGCTGGGGAAGGGCAGTGCGGGGGGACAGCAGAGGGGGCACGGTTGTTAAACGTACTTACCCCTTGGTGGGCCGTGGGCTGGGCTGCCTGCGCCTCCTCTCCTCCTGCCATGCCTTGGGACGTGCCCCGTGTCCCGATGGGTCGCAGGGAGCAGCCTTGGCACCCCTCACCCATCCCTTGCGCTTTACCCATGTCTCAGTGATGGTGTTTTCCCTCCCAAAACAGCCCCTGCAAGGACCCCAGGGCTCAGACCCTCCTGTGCAGCTGTGTTGGGGTGCTCGGCCTCCGCCGCGGCCAGTGGCTGCCTTGGGTGCTCGGGACTGCGTTGCCTGCTGGGTGAGGGTGCTCACAGCACCCTGGGACGGGGATGCAGCCATGCTGGGGGTCTCCCCTCTGCCTGGGGACGTTGACGTGCCACGTTTACCCAGAGGCAGCGCATTCCCCGTGGCACCCTGGTCCCAATGAAACCTGCACAGATGCAAGCAGGGCTTGGGGGGAGTTGCCTGCCGTTAGCTCCATGGGGAGCTGTGCTTGCCCTTGCTGGTGCCCTTGCAATGGTGGGACCTGGCAAGGTCCCAGCATGGTGCCGAGGGACAAACTGTGCAGGGGAGTGACCCCCCCATTCCTCCAGTGCTCCCACTTGCCTGGGCTCCTGCGTGGCAAAGCCCTGGGGCTGGGGAGGCGACAGTCCAGAGCAAGGGTCAGGGGTGCCCTCTGCACTATGGACCAGCCAGGTGGGTGAGAGCGACTCCCAGCACAGCCCACCCTGCCGGGGGAGCTGCCAGGGCCCCTGGGAGCCGGAGGAAAGCTCAGCACAGCCTGGCTAGAAACACGGGTTTATTGTGACACCAGTTTGCAGCCATCCCTCAGCGCCCCCCCCCAGCGACTCCGCACCCGCGTGGACGCCCTGACCCCACTGTGGTGCTTCCACGGCCAGCGGGCTGGGCCCTGGGGGCACAAGCCCACCCCCCCCATCCAGTCAGGCTCAC